TGTGTGTGTGTGTGAGTGAGTGTGAGTGCCAAGGGGCAGGCCCAGCATTGCCTATTGGGCTGTGGAGGGAGGGAGGGAGCAGGGTGGCTGGGGCAGATCACATTTAAAAATACAATCAGATTGGGAGCTGAATCTTTGACCCCTGGCCTGACCTCGGCCACCCCTCACTGCCCTCCTTGTCCTGGGATGGTTACCTGCCAGCTCAGGGCCTGCTCTGCCCCTCCCTGTGGTATTCATGGGCCTTAGGCCCAGGAAATGGAATCGTGGGGAAGTGGGGACAGCCCCTGCTGGCCCCCTCCTGCTCAGCTCCCTTTTCAGCCATCAGGGTGGGGGTTGAGCACCCTGAGGCGCAGTGTGAGATCAGCAAGGAGGAGGGTCCGATCCCTCATGCTGTCTTCGAAGCCTCCCTCCTCCTGGTTCCGGTCACTACAGCAAGCCTGTCCTGAGCTCCCACTAGCTGGCCCCCTCCTGCTCAGCTCCCTTTTCAGCCATCAGGGTGGGGGTTGAGCACCCTGAGGTGCAGTGTGAGATCAGCAAGGAGGAGGGTCCGATCCCTCATGCTGTCTTCGAAGCCTCCCTCCTCTTGGTTCCGGTCACTACAGCAAGCCTGTCCTGAGCTCCCACTCGTGGCTGATGGTTGAGCCCTGGATAGAGGGTGGGGAGCCCTCCAGACCCGATGGACCCAGTCCTGTCTTGGGGAACACAGCAGCCGGGAGACCTGACAGTCCCGGCACCCTAGGCTGGGTGACATTTGCTACGGGCCTCCCCGATCCTGGTCTGTGGTATTGGTGACTGAGCACTCTTGGTTTGGCCACTCTTTCTCAAGGTAACACTTTCCCCTTCTCTTTCTGCCTCTGCAGGTCCTCCAGAAGCTGGGGAAGGCGGATGAGACAAAGGATGAGCAGTTTGAACAGTGTGTCCAGAATTTCAACAAGCAGCTGGTGAGTGTGGGTGGCCGTTGGCCTTTGGGAGCTTGTGAAAATGGAATAGTGACTGCCAGGTGGAAGATGGCAGGAGCTGAATTTGTGGCATAGGAGAGCTCGGGGGATGGGGATCAGTGTTGGCAAGGTCACAGAAGACTTCTTGGAGGAGGGAGCACTGGCAAGCCATGAACTCTGGAAAGAGGTTGGGGTATACTTTAGGTTCTTGGTAAGACATAGAAAGGGTGGTGAGGGAAGGGGGAGGGTTGGCAGGTGATAGATTGTGGCCAGACTCTGGAAAACCTTGCACGTCAAGGCAGGTGGGAGCTATAGAAGCTTCTTGACGGGAGAGTGGCATCTGCAGGGTTTAGTGTGGGGGCAGAGCAGGCTGAATTTGATTTGGGCATCTGCTGAGCATGAACTGTTCCTGGCTGTGTGGCAGATTCCAGGCCAGGCTGTTTGTAGATGGCTTGTGGATGCCTCCCGACAACCTTGGAAGGAGGCCCGTACGATCGTTCCCCTTCTGTAGATGAAACTGTTGAGGCCCAGAGAAGTTGAGTTATTTGCCCAAGGCCATCCAGCTTTGGAAGTGGATTCAGGTCCGTACTTGTCTAGTTCCAAAACCTGGAAGAGACTTCCACGGCATCCTTACCAAGGCCCATTATAGGCCAGGGGCCAGTGACAGAAGGGGCTTAATCACGTTGGCAGCCTACAGGCTGGGAAAGTGGGGCAGCCACTTAAGACTTCCTGACCGAAGAGCTCTGCGTATCCTGTCTGGGCTGGCCCTGAAACTTTCCCCCAGAGATCTGCTAAGTTCAGAATAAGCCATTTTTGTGGCAGCATCTGAGGCGACCCTGGCAATTCCCCCTCCCTGGGGAGGGGGAAGGTAGCAGGAAGGGATGGAAAACTGGGCCATAGCTCTATAGTTTCTGCAGGCCAGTGAGTGACAGATGGGTATGGAGGCCAGAAGAGGCTACAAGGAAAGGGACCAGTGAGGCATGGGGAGTGAGGTCAGGGTCAAAGCTCTGCTGGGAAATAGGCAGGGTGGGCCTAGGCGGGGGGCACCAGGTCTCTCTGTAATCCTTGTCTATGTCTGAGGCCTTGGAAAGCACTGAAAATTCCCACTAAAGCCTCTACAGCTGGAGCGGAACCCAGGGGAAGGGGCCTTCTTTGGAGAACCCACTGGTCAGGGATGGGGGCAGCTAGGAGGGCTGGGGAGCAGCTGGAATAGGGCCAGGGAACATTCTGGGATAGGGTAGGAGCATTCTGGGTGAGGGTTGGAAGTATTGTGGGAGAGGACCAGAGAGCGTTCTGAGTTAGGCTGGGAGCATTCTGGGTAAGGGTTGGGAGCATTCTGGGATAGGGTAGGAGCATTCTGGGAGAGAGGGCCAGGGTGCATGCTGGGAGAGGGCCAGGGAGTGGCCGGGAGAGGCTCCAGCACTGCGTCCACCCTGGCCTGCCAGAGGGGCTCAGCCTGAGAGGCTCCCCAGGGCAGATATGGGGGCCACCGTGGCTGCCTGTCCCCCAGACCAATAATGGGAGATGTTTCAAGGCCCAGTTAGGCCCAATAAGAGGGATGTCTATTGCCTCTGTGGCCCTGGGCAAACCCTTGCCCTTTGAGCCTCAGTTTCCTCACCTGCAAAATACAGGCTTGAACAAGAATCCTGAAGTCTTAGCTTCTGATTCTGTTTCCTGGAAGTCCTGGGAACTGTCCCCTACTCAGCTGGCTTCCTCTGGTCTGGGCTGCTCTGAAGGCCTTTTAGGGAATTGCTGTTACTTGTGTACTTACTGTGGTCCAGATACTGCTATGCGTTTTTACAGACATATCCTTGCAGTCCTTGGAATGGGTGCTGATATTCTCTTCATTATGCAGATGAGACACTTGAGGCTCAGAGAGGTTAAGGAACTCCTCCAAGGCCACACAGCTGGTATAGGGGCTTGGAGATTTACATCCAGGCCCTGGAGCCTTTAACTCACTCTCAGTTCCTTCTGGAGCTGACCCCCCATCTTGAGGGCAGCTGGCTGGGCTGGGGAGAAATGTCATGGCAGCTCCTGAGCTGCAGTCCTGGGGTGGAGTTGGTGGGGTCTCCCCAGAGCAGGCCGGGCTGTTTGGTGGAGGGTGAGGAAGCACAGGTCTGGGAGCTGAGGTTCTCTGTGGCCTGGCCCCAGAGCTGAAACCACAGCATTACTCTCCCCATACATCCCTGAGTCACCCGTTCTGGGTCCCTGGCTCTGGGCAAGGAACCACTCACCGATCCTTGGGCAGAGGGGCTGGGCAGAAAGGCCAGGGCTAAAGATAGCCTATGCTGGTGGCTGCCAGGTGGCTGCCTGGCTGCAGGCACGGAGTGGTCACCTGACCTGGGGCTTTGACTTCCTTCAGCTTTGGTGGGGGTGGCTAGCTCTTTAGGGGCTAGGGGTGGTAGTAGGGAGGGTGGTTTTGAGGTCTCCTTCAAGGCTAGGGGTAGCTCTCCCTCAGGGGTTAAGGCAGCCTGGCAGCTCTGGGTTGGACTGGTGTGTGGGGATGCCTGGGGCATGGGGGTGGCTGCTGGGATTGGGAAGGAAGGGTGTGAGGTCACTATTCTTGAGGAAGTGAATTCAGGGAGCTGTAGTAGACTTGGCCTCAGACAAGCTGTGGGGCTTGAGAGACCCTGGGAAAGGCGAGATGGAGAGTGAGCATGGGAAGCCTGGAGGCTATGCTTCCTCCTGCATCTTTACCTGTGAATCCCAAGCATAGTGGGCCCAGCACTAGGCAGAGCAAGGATGACCCTTTAGTCTTCAAGGAAGCGAATTTCCCACCCCTTCCTAGGGGGTTGGGCCATAGGAGAGAGTATAGGTCACCCTGCTGTCACCTCTCACAACAATCCAGGTGCACAGCCCCTCTTAGGCCCACTTGGTGCTGGTCACAGGTAACACCCCTGCCTTCTGCCCCGAAGCAGACAGACCCCGGAGGGCCCACTTGGCCCCTGCCCCCAGAGAACTGCAAACCCAACTCATGCCCCCTTAGAGGCCATTCTGGGTCCTCCCAACTTCTCCAAGCTCTTCCTCCTAGTGGCACCTATAGTTTGCAGGACCCTGGAACTCAACATTGCTGTTTGTCTGTGTCTCACTGAGGTGGGGCATGTCTGATTCCATCTTGTCCTTAGGGCCTGTTCAGGGCTCTGCTCAAAGTGGGCATCCCTGGTTATTGAGTGAAGATTGATTCTCTGGTCCTGATTGCCTAGGGGCAAGAGTCAGAGCTGGAGCTAGAAGGGGGTTTATTCAGGAAATGACATCTCTGTTTCCTAGACCCACTGGGAAGATGGGGGCTTGGGTCTTTGGGCTACTGGTGGGGACTGATATTGAGAGAGGGACAGTGGGGGTGTGGGGATGCTGGCTGAGCCTAGGCCCTCACTGACTCCTGAGTCCTAGACCTGGGAGCAGGCTGAGGTGGACAGTGGCTGCAAAATCTTATCCTCCCCGCAGCTGGGCTCCACAAGGAGTGTGATTAGAACCTCAGGAACCTCCAGAGAATTGTTTCTCAGATGCCGCATTTAGGGGGCTGAGAGAGCCAGTTTGGAAGTGAACACACATTGCTCTGTGCTGGCCCGCCTGGGTGCTGCCCCCTGCAGAAGCCCCAGGTTGGGGAGGGCTGTGTCTGTCCTGGGGATCGGCTGGGAAGTGTGGCTCAGGGACCCAGCTGCAGTGAGCACAGGGGAGGCAGAGCGCAGGCAGCCCCTTGCACATCTGTGCACCATGTGCCTGCTCACAGCCCAGCGTTGTTTGGGAAGCATAAGGGGTCCTGGTACTGCCTGAAGCCTGGGTGAGTGCAGCAGCCCCAGGGGGCCCCCTGGCTCGGGTGCAGTGGAGAGGCAGGTGCTGGGGGATGGTGGGGAGAGGATGAGAGGTTCGGCTGGGATGGTGGAGGTGTGGCAGGGAGAGAAGCTGGGTCTGGAAGATTCTGTGACATCAGATGATACAGTAGCATCACCTCATGAACACACTTTCATCCTCACCTCAACCAACAAAGCATTCACTTGTTAAGATTAGATGGAATTCCAGAGGCCTGAATGCTTGGGCACTGGCCTTTTGCTTCTTCATTTAATCTTTAACCAGTGAGCCTCGAACTTTGATGTTCATAAGAATCACGTTATATACTCTATGGGGGACTGAAGGAATTTTAGAAAAGGTTTTTTATTTTTCTCTCTTCTGCCCTTCTTTATTTTTACTGTACAGCACCTTATGTGCTGCTCTGAAGCTCTCCCCGCAGCTGACTCTACTGTAACGTGGAAGCATTCATCATAATACATAGGCAAATGCCTGCTTTCCTGGGGGGCCACATGTTACCAGGTGTGCCCAAGCCTTGGAGGGTCTACCTGGCTCTCTCAGTCTCTGTGTGATTCTGGGCAATTTGTCAGCCCCCTCCGCTTCCTCCCCCACCAGGTGGGGACAGTGGCATTGAGAAGATGGTGCCTGGAAGGTGACGGCCCCAGTGGGCAGCTGGTGCATGGAGCTCTGTGGACCCCAGAGGAGGAGGAACAGGCCCCAGCTGAGGAGGGAGGGCCTGTTTGAGGGGACAGGAGAGGTTTGAGGGTGATGGGGGGTAAGCCTGTGAAGGTGGCTTTGTCCCAGTGGCCCTTGTCTGGAGATTGACCTGCGTAAGTGGAGACCACTTTCTGGCTCCTGCGGAAGCTCAAGGCTGGCCAGGCTGGGGCTCTGCAGGGGTGTTGGATCTCCTGGGACCAAGGCCAGCTGCTGGCTCCACATCTCCCTACCCTTTCCCCCCAGAGCCAGGGGATCGAGAGCAAGATTGTCTCTGAGGCATGAGGCTTGGGCTGGCGGCAGGCAGGGGTGGTCAGGAGGGTGTGCCTTCTCCCATGCAGGTCAGCCTCAGCCACTGCTGCTCTCCTGATGTCCCTCCAGTTCCCTCTCTGCCTCACATCCCTGTCCTCAGCATGAAGCCCATCCCCTGAGGCTGACCTTTAAGTTTCAAGGGCCCAGCCTGGCTCACTTGAGCCATTCCCTGCACACCTGTGGTGTGCCTGGCAGGGATCATTCACCCCAGTTGACAGACGAGGAGACTGTGGTTCAGAGAGGCTCACTTACTTGCTAGTAAGAGACTGAGCTAGGTTTGCATGGCCCCAAAGCATGTGTGTGCTTACCCCTCTTCTCACGCAGCTTCTGGAAATTTTGGCATCTCATGGCTGGTGGTCCCAGACCCCACTGCTGGCCTCGTCGACAGATCCTCGTTCACCAATCCTCCTTGCACCGGGAGCCCAGCTTTCCTGGCTCCTTCTGGCCCTCTGTGGGGGATTTGAGGCCTGGCCCACGGCTCCCCACTCTCTGCTTGTCCTGCTGTCTCAGGGAGATTCACCACCTGCCCATTCCCCCTCTTCAGCCTTTTCTTCATATGTCCTATATCCGCCCTCTCTGCTGGGCCAGTTTCCTCAGAGTCCTGGGCATGATCCCCACACTTTTGCACCCCTGCTAATGCCATTCCCTTCTGGAGGTCTCCTCTCCCTGGCGGTCAATCCTCCATCCACCAGAACCTTCTGTTCCTGTAAAGGCTCACACTGGGCTCTTCTTACCTGGTACAGTGCGGTGGGAGCCCTCTGCTCGTGGACACCCGCTGAGCTTGTGGACCGAGGTGCCTGGTCCCCACACCTGCCTGGCCTGTGCTTCTGTGTTCATTGGTCACTTGTCCGTGATTGTCTGAGGGCAGGTCTGTATGTCCCAGTCTCGCTGTACATGTGTGCTATGCCGTGTGTGTGTCATTCAGCCACCGAGGTGCCTGGTCCCCACACCTGCCTGGCCTGTGCTTCTGTGTTCATTGGTCACTTGTCTGTGATTGTCTGAGGGCAGGTCTGTATGTCCCAGTCTCGCTGTACATGTGTGCTATGCCGTGTGTGTGTCATTCAGCCGTACCCTCAACGTGTCATCCAGGGCAGAGGGGTCCCTGTCTTCCTGCCTTCCTTACAGGGCTGTGAATGGTGCCCAAGGAACATGGGGCAAATGTCCCTGTGGGTACAGGGCTTCTGAGGCAGGGACAGTATCAGCAATGCAGTGCTGCTCGGTGTGAATTTGTGGCCAGAGATGCCATGGCTGCCGTCCTCTGACGTGTGCTCAGTGCTGGGCCTTTTGGCAGGACTGCTAACTGGTGGCTGCTGTTTGTCCCTGCAGGAGTGGCAGGAAGGAGAGGGTCAGGGACAGGGTGTGCCCTGGGCCCTGATCTGGTCCTCCTCTTTCTCTTTGCAGACCGAGGGCACCCGACTGCAGAAGGATCTCCGGACCTACCTGACCTCAGTCAAAGGTAAGGAGCAGGCAGGGCAGACATGGCCTGTGTGGAGGTGGTGGGTACAGAGCTGGAAGGGAGGTGGCAGGGCCACCAGGGCTGTCAGTGGGAGGCCCACACACCTCCTCTCTGCCCCCCAGCCATGCACGAAGCCTCCAAGAAGCTGAACGAGTGTCTGCAGGAGGTATATGAGCCTGACTGGCCCGGCAGGGATGAGGCAAACAAGATTGCAGAGGTGAGCATGAGGCAGATGGCCTGGTCCTTCCCAGAGAGTCCTTCTGGCCTCAGCTCCTGTCCTACCCTGCCTCGCCCTCTGGGACAAGCCCTCTGGTTCTCAGCACTCACATACTGTGTGCCCTTGGGCAAGTCACCTTCCTTCTCTGAGGGTCTTTCTTCTCCCAACACGCCCTCACACTCACTCATTATTGTGGATTGGCCATCCTCGTGTGTGTGTGTGTGTGTGTGTGTGTGTGTGTGTTATGGCTCATGACTCACAGGGTCTCCCTTACCTGCCCACTAGTCCTGAGCATGTCTACTCCTCACAGTCACCCTGGGAGAGGCTTTAGGGCAGGAGTTGTTGCCCTCATTTTACAGATTGGGAAACTGAGGCTCTGAGAAGCCACCAAGCTTCATGGAGTTATGGGGCTGGGGCTGACCCGCAGGTCCCTGGGAGGTGAGAATTGGGGACTGGGTGTGGCCCAGTGCCCCTGGTGGCACACTCTTGAGCTCTTGCCTGTTTCAGAACAATGACCTGCTATGGATGGATTTCCACCAGAAGCTGGTGGACCAGGCGCTGCTGACCATGGACACGTACCTGGGCCAGTTCCCTGACATCAAGGTGAGGGCTTCTTGGCTGGTCTTCTCTGCTCTGGCCTGGTAGCCTGTAGGGGGAAGCTGGAGAGAACGGTGCGACACAGGCTGGCTCAGGAGCAGAGGGGACTGCCTTGGAGGCAGGCAGCTGCTAGCCTGGCATTTCATCTCTCTGGGGCTGCTCCCTCTGCAGCCAGTCCACCGGCTCTCTGACAGCCCAGACCTGGGCCTTCTTGCGCCTTTGTGTCTTAGGGCTATGGGAGAAAACCCCATGCTGTGTGTTTGTGTGTGCGTGTGTGTGTATATGCTGTGTATGCTTGGAAGGGTGTGTGTGTAGATGTGCCTGTCACCCCTGTTATCTGAGTCTGTAAGTCTGGGTGTATTTGTATGATTGTTTATGTTTGTAAAGCTGGCTACCTCTGCCGGGCCTGGGTATGTGTCAGGAATTGTTGATGTGCCCAGGTTTCCACCAAGGCTGATAGGCCCCTGGGTGCAGCATCCATACAAACACAGGTGTCCAGAACCCAGGAGAGTGACCGTCCTATTGGACCTGACCACCCAGGTGAGGGGTGTCATGCTCATGCTGGCCCCATGGGCCACCCAGTGCAAATGCCTCAGGCTCCCTGACGCTGAAGGTGGTGACTCTGGAGAGGAGAAACCGGGGCCCAGGGGGCCTTTTCGATGAGTTCAGGGCCAGGCCAAAGAAGAGGGCTAGCCGACACAGTACCGCTGGCAGGTACTGACAGATTGGTTCATGTTGCAAGAAAATGGTTTGACAAGAGGGCACAGGCTGCCTGGAAGGCGCTGGCAGGTACTGACAGATTGGTTCATGTTGCAAGAAAATGGTTTGACAAGAGGGCACAGACTGCCTGGAAGACTGACCACAGACTGACTGGTGAGCTCCTTGCCTCCAAAAGGGTGTGGGCAAAAAGGACTCCAGCATGCGGTCAAAAAACAAAATTACAACAAATTCAGTTGAAGATCTCAATTGGCTTTATTGTGATTCTAGAATCGGGCAACACATTACTCCATAAAACAGAATAAGTGTTCCAGTGAGCCAAGCAGAGGAGGTTGGTTTTATACATAGAAAAATGCTAAAGAAAGCAGAAACAACAAAAAGTAGATTGGTCATTTCAAAGTTACTTTCCTTGTAAGGTGGGGACAGGAAGACAGAACAATGGAAAAATAACATCAGGTTACTTCACACTCTCTCTTTTGTGCAAGGATTGAAGCAGAGGGAACTTCATTATCATGCCTACTGAAGATTTAAACTGGCCTGTTGCAGGGGCTGAGGGGTGGCAGGGGATTGGCTGTTATCTTTCTCCTGATTTCTCAGAAGGTCAGACCACAGTCTAAGTGACATGGAACTTAGCAGGGGTGACTCCATTTTGAGTTTTAGTCTGGTCTTTTGAGACCTAGTACAGGAACTTAGTCCAAAACAATGCCCTTCCTATGATATTTATTTAACAATGCCTTGGACGGACCTGCTGAGGCGGGGTCCGCCGCCCGGCCCTCCCGGTTATCCAGGCCCCCACGCTCACCGGGGCCCCTCCTGGACCTGCCTCTAGCGTAGGCGCCAGGCACTGGTCAGCCCCCTTCTCCTCTGTCTGTCTCCCAGTCCCGCATCGCCAAGCGGGGGCGGAAGCTGGTGGACTACGACAGTGCCCGGCACCATTACGAGTCCCTTCAAACTGCCAAAAAGAAGGATGAAGCCAAAATTGCCAAGGTAAGGGCTGGACGGTGAGGCCAGGGGAGGCTGTGGGGAGCCAGGGAGAAGAGCATGGTGTCCAAGCCCCCGGGGAGGAGCAGAGGAGGGGGATGCTGCTGGGCCCAGAGCCGTGAGTGACAGGCCCTGTGGGTGCCTGGGTGGGGGCTCCCTTCCAGCCCATCCTTGTCCATCTTTGCTCTTCGGCCCCTCCACCCTCCCGAGGCCACTTTCCAGAATAAGAATAGGCCTGGCTTGGGTTTCACTGGAATGGTGCCGCTTTGCCTGGTGTGCTCCAGTGGAATTCTGTCACGGGATCGGATGTGACCCTGTCTTGGCTGGAACAAGCTGGTGGGCGTAGGGCTGGACCCTCTCCCCACCCAGGGGCAGGACCCTGCTTGCTGAGCCCCTCTGCCCCGCTAACGACTCTCATTTTGCCTTTGCAGTTGAAGTTCACCCCCTTCCCATGCCCGCCTTGGGCTTCCCTTAATTCTCAGCCACAGGGCCTTTCCCTGCCTCTGGAGGGGTGGCTGGCTTGTCTGTCACTGCATTTGGGGCGAGTGGATTTGGTGTTTAATATCTGTGTCTCTGTTTCTCTCTCCCTACCTCCCTCCCACCTCTCTACTCTCCTTTGCCTTGACCTCCCTCCCCGCCCCAGCCTGTCTCGCTGCTTGAGAAAGCCGCTCCCCAGTGGTGCCAAGGCAAACTGCAGGCTCATCTCGTAGCTCAAACTAACCTGCTCCGAAATCAGGTGACACTGGCTTCTAACCTTGCACGTGCTGGCGCCTTCCGGTCTGTCGTCCTGTCCTCTCTCTGGGCGCCTGTCTGCCCAGCTGCCCTGCACTGCCCTCGGCCGGGGAGGGCTCAGCCTCTTTCTGGGGATGGGAGGCAGGGCTGGCATTGGAGCTGCAGCCGGGCAGAGGGTTTTCAAATGCCTCTGCTGGGAGAGCTCCTGTTTCAGAGCAGACATGAGGCCAAATCTCTGAGACAGATAGAGGCTGAGGGGCTCCTGTTGACCTGGGCTGTGGGCCCAGGTTTGTCCATTTGGTGTCTGGAACTGTGATTGTTCAAGACTCCTCTGAAAGCCTAGTGCCAGGAGCCCAGGACTGCCTTTGAGCCATTTGTCCTTGTGAAGGTTCCTGTGGAGAGGGAGGGGAGAGCATTAGGGCTCCTGTCATGGCTTGTCTTGTCCTTCAAGCCTCATGAGAAGGAAGGTTATCCTGAATTTACTGAGGAGAGAAACCTGCCCAGAGAGGCTTAATATCCTGCCCAGAGTCCCAGAGCAATCAGTAGCAGACTTAGGACTTACTTCTCAAGCCCTGGGGTCATTATCCTGGCTTCCCGGTCTGGGGGCTCCGTGTGGGTGGTCCCTGCCAGTGCTGGCCTGGGTCCCGTGAGCTCCTGCAGTGACTCTGGAAGAGACACCAGGAGGGGCTCTCCAGTCTGGTTAGGATCTTGGGACCTGAAGGGAGAAACTTGGGTCCCGGGGGGTTGGCTCTTTGCAGGTTTCATGGAGGACAAATGCTCAGCACCACCAAGGTCCGGGGGGTCTTCCTGGAGGAGGCTCTTTGTACAAAACTCCTGGACCATCCCACCACGCTTCTTAGCCCCCTGCCCTTGGAATGGGCCACAGTGTGGCCAGGGACCACTGGAGGCGGTGTCCTGTGAGTGGTGGACAGCACGTTTTTCTCTCCAGTGAAGCCAAGGCACATTTCAGCTCAGCGTAGATGCAGCCTGGACAAGACTCACCCCTTCACAGTCCTGGGGGTGGGAGCGGGGGCAGGTGACAGAAGGCTGACCCAGGAGGTTGGGTTTCTCTCTGGGCAACTGCCCCATTTTTTCTAGGCTGTCTCCTGATTTCATCATCTTTAGCCCGCACGCATTGAGTGCCTATGATGTGGAGAGCTCTGGGCTTACCAGGCTCGATGCCCAATTTCTTCCCTGACCTGCTGCCTGATTTCTTTTAGGCAAAGGCTATGGGCTGACTTTGGAGGCACTGAGTGTTGACAGCCTCATCCTGAGGTCGGGGTGACCCTGGCTCTCCAGGGGCTGGGGGAGATGGATAGGGGGTCTTCGACAGAATGGGGTCTTCATGTGTCTCGGTAGGTAGAGAAGCAAGGGGCTGGAGTGGACATGTCCTGCCTGTCAAGTTCAGGACTTGGGCCTGGAGGGGGAAGGGGGCTGCTGACCCAGAGCCAAGGTTTCTGCTTAATTTTTCCTGAAACAAGTAAAACATTTTTGTTGGGTAGGGGGAGCCCCTCGGAGGCTGTGGTTCCTGGGCTGAGGCCTGCCTGCTGCTTTTGGGCTCCTGCAATTGGCGTGGTTGGAAATCCTTCTGGGAGGGCTCCCACCCCAACCCTGGGGGAGCAGCAGGAGAGGCTAAGGCCCGCGAACACGTCTTCAGATGCTGGACTGCAGATGTTTTGCCTTTTGGCCAAATTGACTTTCACATTTGGATTCCATTTTTGTCTGAGCATATCTTCCTCCTCCCCACCCTGCCTCATGCCTGGCTGGAAGCTGGAGAGCTTTTGGCCATGGCTGTGAGCTGGGCACTTGGGGCTGGGGTTGCCCTGTTGGTGAACTTGACTTTGGGGAGACAGTACATCCTCTTGAGGCTGTGCTCAAGGGAGCCGGCCAGTTCCACGTGTCCCCTGAGCCAGTCCTGGGTTGCTCTCCACACTTGCCATAGCCTCCTGAAACCTGCCTGCAGGACCCTGGGCTGATTCTGGACCTCTCTCCCTGTCTGTCAGCACATAGCAGAGCCACTGGGGCTGCAAAGTCTCCCCCACAATGGACAGCTGTCCCCCCCACTCTGCCCCAAGTGCTTCTGAAAGAGCCAGAATATGAAGAATGTAATCCAGAGGGAATAAAAGACATAGGCCCTGACTTCCAGGAACTCTAAAGTGGAACTGCCCCATTCTTTGCAACGTTGCTGGGCTGTGGGCAGGGCCCTGTGCTGAGATGTGCTCCATAGACACTTTGCTGTGCTGTTGCCACCGCCGTCCTCACAATTGCTCTTCTGGGGAGTTAGGACCAGTGTGGGGAGTGACAGCTGCATCCTCACAGAGAGGTGGTCTCAGCTGGGTCCCAGGGAGTGTCTGTGCTCCATAGACACTTTGCTGTGCTGTTGCCACCGCCGTCCTCACAATTGCTCTTCTGGGAAGTTAGGACCAGTGTGGGGAGTGACAGCTGCATCCTCACAGAGAGGTGGTCTCAGCTGGGTCCCAGGGAGTGTCGGGCTTGAGGCAGACACTTGGTAGGTGAGGTTGGGAGGTGTGGGTCACTCATTTTGTGGGTGGCACAAACCATCCCCTGCCAGGTGCTGGGGTGCCCAGAGGAGTGAGGTAGGGATGGCCTGGCTATGGCCTGGAGATAGGCAGGGACAATATCCTCAACCTGGTCCTGGAGTGGGGTACCCAGGGCCCGCAGATCTTATCCATTCCAAGAGAGGCATACATGTTTAGATCAACAAGCCTTCCTTCCCTGCCTTCCTTCTTTCCTTTTTTATTAGATTTTAAAAAGTCAGACAAGGAGCCTGGAGGTAATTGTAGTCCAAGCCATGGTGGTTCTCCTCCAGCTCCACCCCCAAGTAACACTGAGGGCCCCACAGGGGGCACACTTGGGATAGGGGGCAACTTGGGCTGGTCCTGGTATGTGGAGGTGGATGGGACAGCTGGCTGAGCTGGGGGAAATAGAGTGCTTTGTGACAAAGTGGCGTTCCAGCCAGCTGGCTGCCCCAGCCTCAGCCCCAGCCTGAGAACGTGAGGTTGCTGGTGCGAAGTTTTCCCCTGGGTGGGGCCGCCACGTTCCTGGGCTATGACTCAGACTCTGGATCCTAGTCACCCCCCTGAGTCACTCTCCTCAGCACTGCTCTCCACAAGTGAGCTAGCAGAGACCCTTCCTTGCCCTGGCTAGGCCAGGGGTCTGTGACTCACTCCCTGCCCCCCCATATCACTCTCTGACTATGTGATGGGGCCGTAACACCACTGCCTGGTGGATGTGAGCATCCTGGAAGGCCTGGGCCTGCCCTGGGGAGGGCGGGAGCATGGGGGGAGTGGGCACAACCGCTTGCCCAGCAGCCCAGCTCCCTTCTCCCCTGGCCCTGCCCTCTCCGCCATCACCTCCTGCCATTCCTAGAGGTGCCCGAGTTGCTGCCTCTGGCCTCTATCTGGTGGAGACAGGTCACAGAAGGGCTTGGTGGAAAAGACGGTCCCAGAGAGGTGAAAGATGGTGGCTGAGGCTGGGCAGGAGCTGGCCCTAGGACAGGGGGAGGAGCCCGTAGAGGGGACCACAAGAGCAGCAGCCCAGAGAGCTGGAAGTGGGAAGGGTCCCCTCTTGGCTGGGGCTGGGGTCAGCTCTCCAGGCCCCTTGTCTTGCATCTTCTTGTTGTGCCCTACTCAGCACTCACCTTTCTCCCAGCCCACCTGGCCAGGTAGGGCAGTTCTCCCTTTGCAATGGCTGCTCTGCCCTCCCCTTCCTAGAGTGGCACCACTGGCTTGGTGCAGAGTCCCCAAGGGGCTGCAGTGGGAGGTCACTGGGATGGGTGTCTACACCCAGTTCAGCCTCTGGCTCAGAGCCTGGGTCCCAGTGCCTTGGGCAGGAGGCGGGGGGCAGGCTTAAGGGGTGGGCCTGGCCTGGCCTGGCCTGGGCTGGCTGAGACAAGGCCCAGCAGAGGGGAATGACCCGTCCTGTCCCCCAGGCCGAGGAGGAGCTCGTCAAAGCCCAGAAGGTGTTTGAGGAGATGAATGTGGATCTTCAGGAGGAGCTGCCATCCCTGTGGAATAGGTGAGGGCCAGAATGTGCCCCATGTGCCTGCCCAGAGCGCCCGGCCTGCTTGTCTGTCTGTGGTGCCCGTGCCCTCTCAGGGCTGTGTCTCTGATGAGGGTGTACGTGGTCACAGGTGAGTTGCCTGCTCACCTCACCCTCTTCCTTCCCTCCCTCCTGCAGCCGTGTAGGTTTCTATGTCAACACGTTTCAGAGCATTGCAGGCCTGGAGGAAAACTTCCACAAGGAGATGAGTAAGGTAGGCCCTGGTGAGCCTCTGGGCCATGTTCCACCCTGACAAAGGGTCAGAGTTGGAGGCTGGAAGGGCCGGCCTGAACTTCCCCTTCCTTGCTGGGGTTCGGCACACACTGGTGACCACGGTGCCCTGGAGAGGAGCTGACTGGTGCCTGCTTCTGAGGAGCCCCCTCCACAGGGTGCCTAGGCACAGTGGGAGCTGCTGGGGGCTCTGGGGAGCCTGTGAGTGGGTCTCTGGGCCCAGCACTGGCCCCTCTCCACTCCCAGTCCTGTTTTCCCTACCTGGACAGATGGACTGGGGTATGCAGACCAGCTCCTCTCAAGCTGTAAATGTGCTCTCAGGCAACCTTGGCCCAAGGAGCTCAGCATTAGAAAATGGTGGTGGTTTCCCAGTTTGAAGGAAAATAATAAAGAAATGATTAGAATGTTCTCAGTTTTTGACTTTTCTCCCATATTTCTTAAGACATTGAAGCAGGCTGGCTTTATCTGTCAGAATCTGGTGTATGCAGGGGTCTAATGAGCTTGAAGTTCTCTGTTGTGTTATTTTCATTTAAACTTAACTGGAAGTTAAACTGCAAAGCTGTTTAACTTTGAATTCTGAGAAACCCAGTTTTGGAAACTCTCCCAACTGCTGTTGGAGAAACACAGTGTTGGCAGCTCCCCACTCCGTGCGGTGGGTGGGTCTCACTTTGTCTCTTGGGCCCGGAGGAATGAAGTGATGATGGTAGATTCAGGCCCAGGGTTGGAGGAGGAAAATCCAGCTTGGGGCCTCTCCTGACTTGCAATTCTGCGTATGGTTTCCTGCCTTTTACACCTTTCTTTCCTTCCTACTTTTCTTCCTTCCCTTTGAAGATGTGAGATAACTTATGAAAATTAAAAAATATATATAGAGAGAGGTGTTTCAGGAAAGGAAACCTTTATGTAAAGTTAGTTCATGGAAATATATGTTACAAAACACAGCTAGTTATAAATGGGAGGAAAATTTGGCTCCGAGCTTCCTAGTAGCCAAAGCAAAGAGGGAAATATTCTCAGTAATGAGAATCACCATGTGCTTTTGGTGAAATCTCTGGCGGTTGAAGTGTGGTCTGAAAGAATCTTGGCAGAATGACCTTAATCAGGATCAACAGTATGCAAAAATAATTTTTAAGAAGAAAGTGTGTAAACACAGTACAAACTCTATGTGGTATTTTAGGATATCCCTACAAGTAGTAAGAAGAGAAAAAGATGGTCCCCAGAAATGATAACTATTAGTAATGCAGCCCACTTCCCCCGTTTTCTTTCTCCCTTGGTTTTTTGGGGTCTGGTGTGCTGGTTCCCAGCTCTCACTGATGGGGAAAGAAGAGCTTGTTAACTGCTGGGGGCAGGGGCTGTTTTGGGGAAGGTGTGGCTGTGTGGTGGCCCTGGAGGCCCCCACCTCCTTGCTGTCCTTTCTGCAGCTCAACCAGAACCTCAATGATGTGCTGGTCAGCCTGGAGAAGCAGCATGGGAGCAACACCTTCACGGTCAAGGCCCAGCCCAGGTGTGTGAGTGGCCCCGGGGCTGTGGGTGTGTGCGGTGGGCTGGGCGGGGCCTAGCTCAGGCTGAGGTAGTGCACGCTGGGGGGAGGCGCCTTCCTGTGACCCCATCAGTGCCCTTTTTGGTGCCCCATGAGTTTGGCCCTGGGGGTCTGGGGACCTTCCTGGCTCAGCCAGCGTGTGCTCAGAGAAGCAGGTGAGGGCAGGTCACTGTCCTTGGACACCCCTGCTCCTCCAGTTGTGTCCCATGGAGGAAGGAGCCCCCCTCCCCCCCCTGAGCCTGGGCCTCACCCTCTCATTTGTGGAGCAGGAGCATCTGGTCTCAGCTTGGGAAGGCGGGGGCGGGCAGGGGGGGAACTGAATGGTTCCCGGGTGTGCAGGATTTGGAGGGCGAGCCGAACTCTTCAAAGCAAAGAGGTAGAGCTGCCTTTCCTTTTCCTGCTCCTGGGAAGACCCAAGCCCCTGCATGGTGGCATTCTGCACACTTGCAAAGCCGTCTTGGTTCCTGTCTTCCGCCCTGACCCCTCAGGGAGGCCCCAGCTGTGTTTCCTGAGGGAAATCACAAGGGAGGAGGGGAAATGCTTTGCTCCTCTCTCTGGCTGTGGGTCAGGGAGAACAACAGCCAGTCGGGGATTCCACTTCCTGCTGGCTGTGTGTGCGCGCACACGTGTGTCACAAGAAATGCTTTGCTCCTCTCTCTGGCTGTGGGTCAGGGAGAACAACAGCCAGTCGGGGATTCCTCTTCCTGCTGGCTGTGTGTGCGCGCACACGTGTGTCACAACAGAGCCCAGAGAGCACCGATGAGCCTCGCTTCCCTCATTTGTAGAAATTGTCTCTGCTTCTTGGGTTGGCTGGGTGTTGCCTAGGACTAGGAAGGTATTCACTGGATATTATACCCTCTTCCTACCCTGAAAATAAAATGTGTGTGACTGAGGTGCCCTGAGGCTAGGGTGGGGTAGTGGGGAAGGCACAGGTGGGAGCGTCCAGGTTGGGAGGGGAGGGAGGTGGGCCACGCGCGGCTGTCCTGGGCAGCGCAGGCAGCCGCCCTTGGGAAAGGGATCCTAGGGGAGAGGGAGGAAAGTGGAGGCTTGTGAGCCTTCTTTTCACTGGCATGGCCTGTTGTGTGGCCTGTCCTCTCTGAGTGGCCTCCTCTCCCTCCCGGGGCCCCACACTAGCACTGGACCCACCTGGATCTGTGGGCTGGGACCACAGGCATGACAGATCTCCCTGTTCCGAGTCTCCTGCATCTCGTCAGGCCCTGTCAGCACCATTGGCAGCTGGCAGCGTGCTGAAGCCAGCCAGGGCACCGCGAACTAGACAGCGGGGGCCCAAGGGCAGGCCCAGGTCATCTTCATGGCCTCTGGGCGATGAGGGGAGGCTTTTGCCCTTTTGCCCTCCTCTGAGCAGAGAGGTTGTCAGAGAGGGAAGGGGATGGGCCAGCCCTGCATCTGGGTATTTCCCCAAAATGAAGGCCTCCACGTCCCGTCCATCCCCGCAGAAAGAAAACTAAACTGTTCTCCCGGCTGCGCAGAAAGAAGAACAGGTACCGGCAGTATGTGCTGCGTTGTGGGGCCTCAGAGGCCAGCTCCCTGGCCAGTGGCCCTATGCATGTGCCTTGCACCCTGCTCCAAGGGTGCCACTAACCTGTAACCTGCCCCCGTGTGCAGTGTGCCGCAGGGCTGCCGGCCTGGCTGGGCTGGGCTGTGTCTGCGTGTCGGTGGGAAGAGCAAGGAGGAGGGAGGCTCAGCTCAGCACGTTCCTCTGCACCATCTCATGTCCAGCCCTGGTGGCGGCCCGGGCCACCAGTGCACTTGTGGGTGGAGAAGGTAGCCAGGGAGGAGGCCTTGGGGAGGGTTCGGGGGAGGGGACACTGCAGCATGTTTCTTTTTGTTTTGTTAATTGCGTGTGTATACTATATATCTACATTCTGTAAGGAGGCTAAAATGTAAAACACAAATTCAAAAACAGTGAGAAGGTGCCAGCAATGTCTCACACTGTCCCATCATCAGCCCCCACCCACCCAGGGGACTCGGTCGCTAGTTTCTGGTGTGTCCGTCTAGAGCTGAGCTGTCCAGCACAGTAGCCAGTCACCTCATTTGGCCATTGAGCACTTGAAATGTGGCCAGTGTAACTGAGGAGCTGAGCTTTTAATTTTCATTAAATTAAATTTTAATTAATTGTAAATTTAAGTTTAAATAGCCACTGGGGCTAGTGGCTCCTGTGTTGGACGGGGCTGTTCTGGAGCTTCTTCATGCCAGCACAGACATGGAACTGTATTCTCTGCCCCCTTCCCACCCACATGCCTGTCATGCACACCACCTGCCCCCTGTGTTTGGGCAGTGGACGCTGGCTTGGGGACGTGGCCCTCTCCGTCCCCAGCTACTGCTCCTCTGCCATGAAGACATCACTCTTTAGTCACCCAGGCCTGCCCTGGGCCTCTGGGATTTTGGATGTTTCACCAGGGTTTGTGGACGGGGGGGGCACACAGGGCTGGCAGGACTGTGGGCGGATGTTTGAGGCGAGTGAAGACGTGGTGTAATGGGGGCTGTGGTCAGCGTCTGCGAGTGGGTGGAGACAGGCGGGGGTGCAGGCTGGGGAGGGGGCCCACCCTGAGCAGAGGGGCTGCTGTGTGATTTGTGGGCGAGACTCACTTGGCCTCTAGGATGCCTGGCTTTCTTGTGCCGTCAGCATAGGCTGGGTCTGAGCCTGACGGAGCCTGTGGGGTGGCCTCCAGCAGCGGGTGGTTCCCATGTCCCTGCTTGAGCCCTTGGGGACCACAGTCCTCCAGCCCAGAGTCCTGTATTGTGCTGTCACTGTCTCCTAGGCAGGCCTACGAACTCGTGCAGGCAGGTGCCCAGGCCCCTTCATTCCCACTTGTTCTCACACACGTGCACACAATTTTACATGTGGACCCACAAGTGACCCCTCCCTGCTTGGCCCTCCTCTGTATGCACATGTACACACAATTTCACACGTGGTTCCACAGGACTGCACATGTGTACGTGTGCACACAACTTCACACGTGGATCCGCGACAACGGGGGCGTCCACACCCTGCACTCCAGCTCCTCCACACTTCCTCCTCCCCTCTCCCGCGCTGTGGCCTCCCTGCATCCGGCTCCCTTTCTTGTCTTGCCCCCACAGTGACAGCGCCCCTGCAGTCAGGAACAAGAGCCCTTCGCCTCCACCAGATGGCTCCCCTGCCACCACCCCTGAGATCAGAGTCAACCACGAGCCCGAGCTGGCCAGCGGGGCCACAGCCGGGGCCACCATCCCCAAGTCCCCGTCTCAGGTAGGCATGATGCGTCAGTGGCCTGTTCCTCCTGTCCTTCCTCTTCCTCCTGCTTTGCCATCATCCCCCTCCCTCCCAGTCATCTATTCATAGGCTGGGTCTGAGCCTGACGGAGCCTGTGGGGTGGCCTCCAGCAGCGGGTGGTTCCCACGGCTCTGCTTGAGCCCTTGGGGACCACAGTCCTCCAGCCCAGAGTCCTGTATTGTGCTGTCACTCTCTCCTAGGCAGGCCTACGAACTCGTGCAGGCAGGTGCCCAGGCCCCTTCATTCCCACTTTTTCTCACACACGTGCACACAATTTTACATGTGGACCCACAAGTGACCCCTCCCTGCTTGGCCCTCCTCTGTCTGTATGCACATGTACACACAATTTCACACGTGGTTCCACAGGACTGCACATGTGTACGTGTGCACACAACTTCACACGTGGATCCGCGACCATGGGGGCGTCCACACCCTGCACTCCAGCTCCTCCACACTTCCTCCTCCCCTCTCCCGCGCTGTGGCCTCCCTGCATCCGGCTCCCTTTCTTGTCTTGCCCCCACAGTGACAGCGCCCCTGCAGTCGGGAACAAGAGCCCTTCGCCTCCACCAGATGGCTCCCCTGCCACCACCCCTGAGATCAGAGTCAACCACGAGCCCGAGCCGGCCAGCGGGGCCACAGCCGGGGCCACCATCCCCAAGTCCCCGTCTCAGGTAGGCATGATGCGTCAGTGGCCTGTTCCTCCCATCCTTCCTCTTCCTCCTGCTTTGCCATCATCCCCCTCCCTCCCAGTCATCTATCCCCTTCCTGGGCCTAGGCCTGAGCAGGTTTGGAGCCAGAGGCTTTGTCCAGCTTGCTCAGT